GTTGCCACGATACCCCATTTACCTAGCTTTATAGGGTTTGTCATCTGTAGCATTCAGTCACATGATTCCTTACCACATTTTTATCCCCTTTTGAAATCTCAGGAGCCCAACATGTTGCCTGTGAAAGATTCACTGAGATTTAACACATATTTTCATATTTTATAACTGCCAAAATGAGAGAAATTGCTTTAACTAGCAAAATAAAAAATACCGTCTGATGTTTTGCACAGTATAGAGCCAAATACCAACTTTTTTTTTCTTTGAGATGGAGTTTCACTCTTGTTGTCCAGGCTGGAGTGTAATGGCATGATCCTGGCTCACTGCAGCCTCCAGCTCCTGGATTCAAGCAATTCTCCTGCCTTAGTCTCCCAAGTAGCTGGGATTATAGGTGCCTGCCACCATACCTGGCTAATATTTTGTATTTTTATTAGAGATGAGGTTTCGCCACGTTTGCCAGGCTGGTCTTGAACTCCTGGCCTTAGATGATCCGCCCACCTTGGCCTCCCAAATTGCTGGGATTACAAGCATGAGCCACCACACCCAGCCTCAAATACCAACTTTTTCATGGACAGTTGAACTTAAATGATAACTGTAATATTAAAAATAAAATGACTGTGGGAAAACTTATAATGTCCATGATGTCATCACTTAAAGAAAATGATCATTTTCTTTTAGTCTTTTTTCTAATACCTAATTTTTACATAGCTGTCACATGGGACAATACACATTTTATCTTCTTTTCTGATTAGCATTCTCAATGATTTTTCCATACTGCTTCAATAGCAATCATTTTTCATGTCTTATAAAATACTCAGTAGAATGGCTGTACCATTGTTTGCTTACACCATGCCCTATTGCAAGAGATCTAGATTGTTTCCACATCATTTTGTCATTATTGTACAAACCACTGCCGATACTAATGCTTCAAGTTGTTTGTTTTTTTGTTGCCAGGATAAACCAAAGTTTCCAGGCACCAGTTGTCTAAACTGTGTCTTGTCTCTGGAGTGCATCTATTTCCCTTTCACTTATGTGACATCATAGCAGGCTTAGAGTGACCAGTAATGGATTTTTAAGAGTGTGTTGTATATTGTGACATGTCTTCTAGAGTTTTAAGTTTAGAAAAGTCTTCAAAGTAGAAAACCTCATACTTTCTCTTTTGGTATTCATACAACTTCATTTACTTATGCCTATGATGTATGCCAGTGACAGAACTGAAGTAGAAATTTATTGTGAGACTCTGGCCCTTTTGAAGTTGTTCAGAGAGAAGAAACTTGAGAGAATGATTGTGGCCTGTGATAAACCCTCATCTAGCAGGTTGGTGGGGAACTTGCACAACTCTTTTTTCTTCTTCTTTTTGAGACAGAGTCTCACCCAGGCTGCAGTGCAGTGGCACAATCATGGCACACCACAGCCTCAACCTCCCAGACTCACATGATACTCCCACCTCAGCCTCCTGAGTAGCTAGGCACCTGCCACCATGCCTGGCTAATTTTTGTAGAGGTGGGTTTCACCATGTTGCCCGGGCCAGTCTCGAACTCCTAGGATCAAGAAGTTCACCCACCTCAGCCTCCCAAAGTGCTAGGATTACAGGCATGAGCCATAGTGCTTGGCCAGAACTTATACAACTGTTTGCCCATCTATAGAAACTGTGTAAAGACTTTGGAACCATGTCTTGATAGGGACTGACATTTTAATGTCTGAGGCCAAGCAAGGGAAGAGCATGTGTCAGCCATAGTTAACTCTTAGGAGCTATCCCCATATCACTCAGGGAAACACAATGAGATTGGAACTGGGTGTTTATAGAATCTGTTATAAGAATGGCATTGCTTTATCTTTAGAGAAGGGACCAGTGAGCTGCAGGTGGCTAATATCCACTTCTAGACAGATTTGATCGAATAAAGATGCAGATTGTCCTAGGTAGAATGGAGATGAACCTTAAGTTTGCGCACCAGTGGATGCGGCATTTCATGTTAGAGCAGGGATGTTGTATTACCCGGAAGAAAGAGAAATGAGTGAGTAAGTGGTGATTTTTATTTTTTAAAACACTTTATAATGGGTCCTTAGCTCAAGCTCACAAAAGAAGCTTTAGAATTCCAGAGCAGTCTGAGTTAGAAAAAAAAAAAAAAAGATAATAAAAGTTCCCCTCTCCATGCAGGGGGAAAGAATAGTGGCTTCTGAAACCAGAATTCTCACCTCTGCAACCTCACCACAATTCATCATGTGTTCAGCATTCAAGGAAGAGGATGGACTCTTTGGTGCTATGAGGAAACTAATGCTGCACTGGGTTACTGTGTTTGCTTTTCAGCTCTGGGAGAGTGAGATGAGTTGGGTGGTCTCAGCCTCGGTGCCCATTCATCCACACTACTGAGCAACTGCACAATTGACTCATTCCATAGTGGGGTGGCAGGCAGATGGACGGCATTTTCAAGGCAGTCACAGTCCTGTAAAAACAGGTGTTGTTTTCAGTCAGGCAGAGTAACAAAAAAATGGGGATGAGTGTATGGAATAGAATCTGTGTTTTGGTTTGCCTCTACTGGAAGGAGGAGCAGATAGCAGCTTTTTCCTAACTGTAAACCCTGAGCCTAACCTAGTGCCTACCAATTGGGGTTAACAACAGAGAAGTTTGTAAAGAAATGGCTGTGGCAAATAAACATTGGAAGTATTATTTGATGCCCTCCCCCACCACATCTTGAGAATGCATTTGAAGAGTCAATATGTAGAAGAGAACCACTAAGCAAAAATCAAAATGATGGCAAATAAGGAAGCTGCTGGGTGCAAGGGAACTTAAGTCCCTGAAACATTAATTAAAGACTCCAAATGTAGATACGTTCAGGAGTGGCCCATCACACTGCAAGGTCTAAAACCTGCAACGCAAAGTTCCGTAGGATCAGGTGTGAGCAGGGCCAGGAGATGGGAAGTGGGCCATGGGGGAACTGGTCTAGAATGTTACAGCACCTAGTTAATCGGCAGCCAGTCCATCACATTAAACATCCAGCTGTCATGTATTACCTTTCAAGTGAAAATGAATAACTCCCATTAAGAGCAAAATGGGTTTGAAGTCGATTCGAGACAGATTAAAGTACTGTTATGAATGTGTGTGTTGGGAGGAGGAGGATCTGTGTGTAATATGCTTGTCCTTGTACTTTTTAAATAATAGATGTCCTACAAACTTACGTAGACCAGGTTACTGAGATACTGGGGTTAAAGGTCACAAGATGTGCATTCTGGGAACAGCATCAACTTCCTGGAATGTATTTCCTGCATTTGGCAAATTTCTTTTCAAAATTATATTGTGGCCTTATGACTTTAATGAATAAAATTGATTTTCTAAAATTGTTTATTAAAGTATACATCTATAATGACAGTATCTTGGTGTCCACATCAGAACAAATTTCAAACCCAAGCATAAATGGAAATACATGCTAGATAACTAGACAGGGTAAAAGAGAAAGCAGTTTAACAAGGAATAAAAATTAGGTTTTCTAATCCAGTGACCTGAGTGCCAAGTCACATTATTTTTTCATGAGGGCAGTGGGTATATATTTTCTCACTATCACTTTCATGACTTTTTTTTCCTTATTGCTTTAAGCAAAATTCTGAAAAATGGAGTACCACATTCAAAACAAATGAAAGAGCCAACATTCAGAAATTGACCAGGTTGTGGAACAACCAGATCCATCCATACTGGAATTTGTGTTTAAGAGCCTTGCTTCTCCTGGATAAACCCTTAGCCTGGCTGTTTTCTTTTTCTTTTTTTGAGACAGAGTTTCGCTGTTGTTACCCAGACTGGAGTGCAATGGCACAATCTCGGCTCACCGCAACCTCCGCCTTCTGGGTTCAAGCAATTCTCCTGCCTCAGCCTCCTGAGCAGCTGGGACTACAGGCGCACACCACCATGCCCAGCTAATTTTTGTATTTTTAGTAGAGATGGGGTTTCATCTTGTTGACCAGGATGGTCTCGATCTCTTGACCTCGTGATCCACCTGCCTCAGCCTCCCGAAGTGCTGGGATTATAGGCGTGAGCCACAGCACCCAGCACAGCCTGGCTGTTTTCTCATGAAATTATTTGCCTCTACTGGAAGGAGGAACAAATAGCAGCTTTTTTTCTAATTATAAACCCTGATTATAAATCCTAGTGCCTGCTGATTGAGGTTAAACAATAGAGAAAGTAAAGAAATGTTTCCTTTCCCTGCTTCAGAGAACTCCTTCCACCAGCGCTTCTGTACGCGCTGTCTGCTACTCAGTCCTCATGGGCAGCTTCTCTTTAATTAGCATTTGGTTTTTTTGGTGGTAGAGGCAAGAGGGGCGTGGAGGCATGGTTTGGGTAAGCAGATAGGTAACTTTCCCTCTTCCCACCCACTCCAAATAAGCTCTTAGGTCTGGAGCACTGGCTAGATTATATCTTGGATTCACACCCTGCTTAGTTCCACTCCTCAATTATTTCTTCCCCAAAAGCAAACTCCAGAACCCAAACTTGATTTTTTCCCCCCACATATTTGGTATGCTGATAACCATGTGAACCTTTCTCAAATCATATTTGCCATGTTGCTGGTGCTGTGCCATGTTGTGATTCCAAAAGGAGGGAGGGACAAGAAAGTTGAGAGCACATCTCTTCTTAGATCTCTGAAGCAGAGCATGTCTGGTACTCAGGGGGGCAAAACAAAACTTTCTACCCACCCTTACCCCTACTGCCCCCCACGAGCCAGCAGATTGTGTCTAGATTGGGGGAGGTTAGAACAGACAGAATTTAGCTTAATCCAACTCCAAAGCCTTTTATTCCATTTCTTTGCCTTCTTTTCCTAATGTTCAGTTGTTAACATAGTGACAGAAATTCATGGGGGAGAAAGAAACACTTGCTTCTATTCCAACATGCTTGATAAATCAGTCCGGATGTTCATCCTTCTTGAATTTTGGTGTTTGAAGAAAATCCTGTGCTATAAATGAATGTTGATTTTCACCCAACACAAACTCTGTGGGAGCTGGCCTGGCCTGGCTGCTGTATTGCATCTTCTACTTTCTCTTCTAGCATCGTCCAGCCAAGCAGAGAAGGAGCTGACAGATTCTCCTGCAACCTCCAAACGCATCTCCTTCCCAGGTAGCTCAGAGTCTCCCCTTTCTTCGAAGCGACCAAAAACATCTGAGGAGATCAAACCGGAACAGGTGAGGCTGGAAGGGACTCTGCTGGTGGGGGGGTGAGATGTTGTAGACATTGGTGGGGAACACATTTTTGGGTGGGTGGGCTTGGGGCACACACAGTTGCTCAGAGCAGTGGGTGTGTTCCCCACAGATGTACCAGTGTCCCTACTGCAAGTACAGTAATGCTGACGTCAACCGGCTCCGGGTGCATGCCATGACGCAGCACTCAGTGCAGCCCATGCTTCGCTGCCCCCTGTGCCAGGACATGCTCAACAACAAGATCCACCTCCAGCTGCACCTCACCCACCTCCACAGCGTGGCACCTGACTGTGTGGAGAAGCTCATTATGACGGTAAGGCAGCCAGGAGCAGCACCCTGTGGTCTTTCTCCAGGGTCAAAGGTGATGCAGTAGCAAGATACTGTGTTATTGGATGAGAAAGGTAGTGTATAGCTGGAAATGTCAGGTAACGGTTTTCATTCTGTGACCTTTGTTCTACCATCCCTGCCTTAGACTTGGCATGACCATAGCCCAAAGTGCTGAACACGTGTCCCTTAACATCCTCTCTCCCCTCCAGGGACAGAGGCATGGATTAGCTAACCATTGATGTGAAGAAATCATCATTCAAATTCCTCAAACCTTTACTGAGCAGGTCATGGACTAGATTGCTCTTACCTTCATTATATCTCATTTCATCCTCATAACAAACTCTCCTTTTGTTTTTGAAGGGAGCCAGGCACATTAGGTCACACCTCTAATCCCAGTTCTTTGGGAGGTCAGGGTGGGGGGATCGTTTGAGGCCGGAAGTTTGAGACAAGCCTAGCTAACATAATGAGACCCCATCTCTACAAAAAATATTTTAAAATTAGCCAGTCATGGTGGTGTATGCACCTGTACCACTAGCTACTTGGGAGGCTGAGTTGAGAGGATCTGTTGTGTTTTTTTTTTTTTTTTGAGACGGAGTTTCGCTCGTTACCCAGGCTGGAGTGCAATGGCACAATCTCAGCTCACCGCAACCTCCGCCTCCTGGGTTCAGGCAATTCTCCTGCCTCAGCCTCCTGAGTAGCTGGGATTACAGGCATGCGCCACCATGCCCAGCTAATTTTTTGTATTTTTAGTAGAGACGGTGTTTCACCTTGTTGACCAGGATGGTCTCGATCTCTTGACCTCGTGATCCACCCGCCTCGGCCTCCCAAAGTGCTGGGATTACAGGCGTGAGCCACCGCGCCCAGCCCGGATCTTTTGTGTTTTAAGTAGAGATGGGGTTTCACCATGTTGGACAGGAACTAAACTTGAGCCCAAGAGTTTGAGGTTGCAGTGAGCTATGATCAGGCCACTGTACCGCAGCCTGGGTAAGAGAGGGAGACCCTATCTCTTCAAAAAAAAGGAAAGAAAATTTTTTTTTGCCACATTCCCATCAGCACATAAGGAAACTGAGCTCAAAGATGTTAACTGACTTGATGCCATTTGTTAAGGAGCAGAGTAGAGATTTGAACCCACAATTTTCAACTCTAGGGATAGCCCTGTAATAGAGGAGGAGTTTCTCAGGAGATACTTTTATTCTCAAAGCAAGAAAATGTTCATCTGGATATGCTGATTCGTGGATGTGGGTTTTGCATTTGAATATGTTATTACTAGAGCTGCAGATTTTGAAAGCATGAGTCTAAGTGACCACTGTAAACATGGCCTAATTAGTATAAAGATGTAAATCTAGCTGTAACATGAAAACTTTTCAAAATACTGCTGGTGATGGTGATATCCTAGTTTTGACTACACTGGTGCTGCTATGAAAGCCCTTTCCTGGGTGGACGCAGTGGCTCATGCCGTAATCCCAGCACTTTGGGAGGCTGAGACAGGTGGATCACCTGAGGTCAGGAGTTCGAGACCAGCCTGGCCAATATGGTGAAACCCTGTCTCTACTAAAAATACAAAAATTAGCCAGGCATGGTGGCAGGTGCCTATAATCCACGAGGCTGAGGCAGGAGAATCACTTGAACCCGGGAGACAGAAGTTGCAGTGAGCCCAGATCACGCCACTGCACTGCAGCCTGGGCAACAGAGCGGGACTCTGTCTCAAAAAAAAAAAAAGCCCTTTCCTGATAATTAGAGGAAAAACCACCAAAGAGAATTATTCTCACCTCTTTCTTAGCATTACTTTTAGCAGTGGACTAATAAGAAGTTAATCTGATTGCCTTTTCATGTGAAGATTCCCAGAGAGGTAATCTGTTCACAACTCCACGTTATAATGTGCAGGTCACACACATATCACCTCTAGGCATTTCCTATTCCATTTGGTTCTGCAGAAATTAATGAATAATGTTGTAAGTGATGTTTAGTAGTGAAGAACATATAATTGACGATGCATCAAGACAACTTGAGCAGTCCATGGGAAGCTCAAAAGTGACCGAGCATAAGTTGCCTTTCTGAGATCTTTCAAGTATGAATTAACTTTCTGTAGGTATTTGGCGATGAATATTGTGTAAAGATTTTCTGTAGGTGAAAACCTCCTTCTGTGGACCAGTGGGTTTCTGTGTTACGGGTTTCCTCAGCATTCTCATCAGCCTTGGAAGTAACGGGCCTCATTGTAGTTCCCAGCTAATGGCCTGGTGGAACCATGGGAGCCTGAAGGAACAGAAAGAGATGCGGGGAGGGAAACATTGTCAATACTGAGCTACATTTTTCTTTTACTCAGGTGATTATTTTTGCTATTTAATATAAATCTAGTTTAGGAACTGTGGGCCTATAGTAATCAGCATGACTGGTTTACATTAGACAGTAAAAATTTCATTTATGTTATCCGTGGGGACTTGAGTATAACTTATATTTCAGATATTCATTGTATGTCATATTTTCATAACAGCAATAGCAAGGTAAATTTCAAGTGGCAAGTGTGGTGGTCATTGGGAATCTTCTTCATTTACCAACGGAGTCTTCAAGGGCAGGATATTAACTGCTGTGTTTGCTTGGGTACCAATCCCTAAGATATTTCTGCAAGTTACCCAGTAACCAGCACTTTTGAAAGCAGTGATTCTCGACCTTTATGGAGACTCTGATGAAAGCTATACAGCCATACTGGATTATTCTTTGCACACTGATGTTTGATAACCACTGTTATTGACCCACCATCAAGTATTTTGCAAATATAAAATTGTGTGTACAATGCCAGGGAGCATAAGGATACATCATGGCACTGGTCAATAAAAACTATTCTAGAACCCCTCACAATATAATTATGTAGGAAACACTGCTCCCTAAAGGGGCTGTGCATAGTATCTTGTATAGAAACCCCTATGTGCTTCATCTTTCCACAGCAGACCCTGGAGATGTTTTCTAGACATTTCTGAGAAACATGCAGATTGTGGGAAATGTACTGGTAATGGGAAGTCAATTTGTTAGCAACATGAGAAAGTTAATGAATTCAGGAGTAAAGTTGAAAGTTGTGAGAAATGTAATCATATACATATTTTACTTTTTACTGAGAGATGTATATGCAAGGATGAGTTTTCTCTTTGCATGAGAAGATGTAGTTATGGCATGGCTGTCAGTACTAAACTGGTTTCTCTAGTCATGGTGATCGTTTGCATTGAGCCAAACTATGCATTTCTATCTCAGTCCTTTAGTTCAGCAGAAAAAAAAAAAAGAGCAACCAGGGTTAGAGGGAATTTGTGGGCCTACCAAAGGGTGAACTCAAGAGCCTGTTCAAGGACTGGAATACTGATCTTGGTTTCTGCCCTGATGAATCAAAGCAGATGCCAGTGTCTTTGGTCTGAAAATTTTGGTGTAAAAATGGAATTTGCAATTGTTTTACAACTAAGTGATTATGATGAACCTGTGGTTAAAATCATGCCATGGGTTTAACCTGTGGTTAAAATCTTGCTGTCATTTTATTAGAAAACTGGCCCCAGGAAAGTATTGGTTAAGCTTTCTAGCAATATATCTGTTTGTTCATGGACAAAAAGAGCAGGAAACTGAAAAGAGTATGGATGAAAAATGGCCCTCTAACCAAGGCTCCATTTTCTAAACCATATCATTAAGGAATGGCCAGTTCTATGGTCATTCATCCTCCAGGAGAAGAAAGTTATGTCTGCTTTGTCCCTGACTGGCTAGGATGAATGGCAGCAAGAGGAGGGAATCTTCTTTCTTTCCAAATGGTTGACTGAGTTAGTTGTCGTTGGCTGCAGAATAGGAAAAGCTTGCAAAATCTCCCAAATAGATGATTCCTGGCAGACAAGGGGTGTGTCAGGGGTATTTACAGCTGTAAATTCTGGTAAATATTTTTTGCTGTCTGGGTCCAAAGTCTCAGGATTTAGCTTGAGTTCGGTTCAGTCCCACTAAAAGTAAATTCCACCCTGATAAATGGAAACAGATTACTTTCTACACAACATCTTTCTGTTCAGTTGTAAATGGAGTGCATTTTGAGGAGGCTTCATTTAATAATACCTTACCAGACAGCTTTCAGGAACCTGCAGTGTCTAATATGTCTGTTGCTATGGTAACACCTGCTTGCTTATGCTCTGCATCTCATATCTATGTCTTCCATGGGCCCCCTTCTTCTTACTGATGAGGGGGCTTGAGGAATATTCTCCACTAGGAACAACTGCAGTGCTGGCCCTCTACTATGGAGACCGCACCCACAGCACTTCATTCTTCTTGGCCTACTGGAAACAGAGCTCCAAAGAGTGTCTCCGCACATGTCATATGAAAGAAGGAAATCTATAAAACTTGAGAGAGATGAGACAAGGGCTCCTCCACAATGGCTGGGCAGTCCGCCCCCAGTGTCAGTTTCACATAAGAACTCTCACCTATTTACAAAGAAGCTTGAGATTTCAAATTAGTGAAAAGAGATGAAGGAGCTGCTGCGTGGTGGCCTTATTTTCCTAATCTTTCAGGAAGTGAGGGTGGAAGACATGGGGCCCATGTTTCTGGCCCCTGAATGAGAATAGGAAAGACCATCTACCATGCATTTCAATACTCTTAAATTATTCTAATTGATCACTATCTTTCTACGTGACAGGAGATACCACTGGGATCCTGAAGCACTGATACGGGGAAATTTTCTTTCTTCTTTCAGCATTTAACAGAATATGACCTCACAGTGGAGATGGGATTGGCTCCTGGGCAACTTAGGAACACCTTCTCTAGCCCTTTATCTTTGCCCGCTTTGGTTTTGGTAGCTCTTAATTCTGTAATTTTTGCACCTGCACAGATTTCCCTTCCATGTTCCTGGCCCTGCGTTGCCTGCACTTTTGTCTATATCCCTTTCAAGACCACTAGTTTGTCCCTTGTGATTTTTTCCATCAGTGTCTATGACTCTCTGTGCCCCATGTGTGCCTGTGTGTCTGTGAGTCTCTGGGCCAGACTGGTCATCCAGCCCCCCCCACACTGGAGCTCTTGGGTGGCCACTGGCCTGGGGGCTGTTGCACCCACCTGGGTACCAGCTCTCTGACTTTATCTCTAAGAGGAAAGTAATGAAAATAATCGGGCTTCATTAATTCTAAGCCCTGTGAGATGATAGCCATTTGGAGCCTGTTTGCCAATTAGATGGTCTAAATTAGAAGTGACCTTGGTATACTGCCACTGCTTGCCTTTCGGAGTCTAATGAATCTTTTCTCTCCAATTCATTCTCCTCCTCGTTCTCACCTCTCTCTCTCTGTGCACATGTGTATAAGTCTTCATGTGTTTCCTGTTCTCCCACCCACCTTTTCAATCTTTCTCATCCTCAGTTTTAAAAATCTGGTTCTGAGCTACATTGGTTTCCAGCCCACATGAATGTTACCACAGCCCTACAGTATTTTCTTTTGAGCTTTATGTATTTAAAAACTGAATGAACTACCATACAGAAGCAGTTTTAGAAAGGAAACAAGAAGGCCAAGATGAGTCCAGGAGTTTGAGACCAGCCAGGGCAACATGGCAAGACTGTCTCTACCAAAAAAAAAAAAACATTGCCAAGTATGGTGGGTGTGTACCTGTAGTTGTAGCTACTGAGGAGGCTGAGGCAGAAGAATCAAACTCAGCAGTTTGAGCCTGCAGCAAGCCATGATCATGGCACTGTACTCCAGCCTGGCTGACAAAGTGAGACTATCTCCAATTAAAAAAAAAAAAAGGAAAGGAAATGGTACAAGAAGAGAAGCTGGGCCTCTTAGACTCCATGGTCCAGTGCTCTCCCTGGCACATGTAGAAGGCAATAAGGGCAGCGGAACCCAACTCTGAAACTCTACTGGCAAGAGGTGCCTGGTTTGCTGGCTTTAAGTGTGCAGAAACCAGCTAATAGGCTGTCTAGATACAGGAAAGGAAGTGAGCAACTGACCTCTCACTGGAGCAGCTGGCTTTAGGTACACCACTCGCTAGACTGCTCAGCCCTAAAAGCAGTTGGGTTTTAACTTGATGCTTAAATGTTTTGGGCAGAACCAGCCTCATCTACCAGGATGTAGAGACGAGTTTGGTCAGTGCCAGGGAGGTCTGTGCCTAAGCCTCTCTCCTTTTTGTCAGTCTGAAGTTCTTCATTCTGTTGACTTTCAATTAGAAGTAAAGGATTTGAGGCACCCTTGGGAGCCTAGGTGTTGGCAGATCTATACTTTTCACCTAGAATAATGGGCTTTTCAGAAAGAAGTCCTGAAGTGAGCAGTGCCAAGGCAGTAGGAATAGGGTCTCAGAGAAACTACGTTCACCACTTTTACTAAGAAAATATCTCTGCTGGTCGGGTGTGGCGGCTCACACCTGTAATCCCAGCACTTTGGGAGGGTGAGGCAGGCAGATCACCGCAGGTCAGGAGTTTCAGACTAGCCTGGCCAATATGGTGAAACCCTGTCTCTACTAAAAGTATAGAAAAATTAGCTGGGTGTGATGGCACATGCCTGCCTATAATCCCAGCTACTTGGGAGGCTGAGGCAGGAGGATTGCTTGAACCTGGGAGGTGGAGGTTACAGTGAGCCGAGATCATGCCGTTACACTCCAGCCTGGGCGACAAGAGCGAAACTCCATCTCAAAAAAAAAAGAAACGAAAATATCTCTGCTTTGCAGCACATGGAATGTGTCAGGGACATCGATCTATTAATAGGCCAGCCTGTCTGTGGGTAGCCTTGAGAGATGAATGGGCATGAACAGTCCCATAAGAAATTAACAAAGGGTTATCTTGGCTGCACAGGGTGTTTGCCCTTCCACATCTGTGACCTGCAGGGGTTGGGGTAGGTGGCAGGATGGTGTTCCTTGTAACTCCAGCTTCTACCAAGAAATTATACATTGCAGCAGCCCCTCCCAAGTATCAGAGTGGGAGACCAGAACAGTACCTCAGACACTGGGCTGTGTAAGGTGGTCCTTGAGGCCTTAGGTTCCACTCACCTCACAGAATCCTGAAAAGCATGAAAACATAATCCAAAATAATAATGAACCAAACTATGATACATACATACGCAGTTCTAATACATAGATTGGAGCTATATATTTATGAACCTATGTCCCCTCTCCTAGTAGATCAAGGGCACTTTACTTGAGTACATAGATTTCCCTCTGGGGAACTTGTGATTTCCCCTAATTATCTGGAATATTCTTTCTGTGAAAGTATTTTCCTAGGAGTCTGTAACTTTTATTAGATTTATAAGGCTTTTATGACTGCTAAAGTTTTAATTATTCTGGATCATAAGCTTCTTGGGGTCAAGGACTTTTGTCTTGCTCTCTGCATCTCACAAGCATGCAGCACATGGATCCTGTACAGCGTTTAGTAAATGATGGTCAAATGAATGAACTGAGAGTCCCTCAAGGCTACTCCTTCTCAATTGTGGTATTTTGGAATTAGGCCAAAATTTTTAGCATCAGTGTGGAACACTTCTGTTTCTATTGTATATGAAAATTGCTGAAACTGGGAGGTATTCAGTCATGGAGTAGAACTCCCCATTTCTTTTGTTATGCATGAAACCTGTTTGTTAGGGATATATCAGAGCCACTGTTTGCTTCCAAACTGTCTGCAACCCAGTCAATTTGTGGTTTCTTCCCATGTTTCCATGAACTGTACATGTGCTCTAGGAGGAAGGTAGGTTAATTGGCTCAAAAGGTATGGGAGGAAAACATAGGGTGTCTAGAAGATCACCATGGTTAATGCCTTTTGCATGGCAGAGGCCAATCTTGAGAGACCCCAATCCTATAATGGCTATAATCAACTGCATTTTCTTAACCAAAAAAACTTTTTCTTGTTACTTCTCAGGTTCATTAGTGAATGGAGTGGGGGATGTAATTTAGTGTATTAAATGTTTACTCATGTATGGATTATTGGAATAATCAATGTGGACGGTACAGTCAATGTAGAAAGTGCAGGTGTTTGGGCTGACTGTATACTGTCATCTGGCCAAACCTTAGAACTTTTTTTGTTTGACTGTCGAGTACATGGCTGGAAGTATGGACATTGTAGGATCGTGGCCAGAGATGGAGAGAAGAAAGAGACAGAAAGCATGTATGTAGGTTGTGCAGGAAAACTGTTGGTAGGACCAGTTATTTGAGGGCCTCTGAAGTTTGGCACACTTGGCATGACCCTGGTTATGGTACAACCAGGTTTTGCCTTCTTACAAACCTACATGGTTCAGTGTTCCTGGCAAAAGGGAAGGTCTTTACAGAATGGTGCTCAGCACAGCTGGGATTTATTTATTTATTTATAAAGAGTCTCACTCTGTCACGCAGACTGGAGTGCAGTGACATGATCTTGGTTTATTGCAACCTCTGCCTCCTGGGTTCAAGCGGTTCTCCTGTCGCAGCCTCCTGAGTAACTGGGACTACAGGCATGCATGACCACGCCTGGCTGATTTTTGTATTTTTAGTAGAGTTGGGTTTCACCATGTTGGCCAGGCTGGTCTTGAACTCCTGACCTCAAGTGATCCACCTGCCTCAGCCTCCCAAAGTGCTGGGATTACAGGAATGAGCCACCATGTCTGGCCGACAGCTGGGTTACTGACTTTCCCATTTTCAGTTGTCCATCAGAGACTATGGCTGGGACAGTCTGAATTCCATGCAGTTTAGTAGCCAGGTGTGATTGGAAAACAAAAGGGGTGCCAAGGCAAGTGTTGAAGGAAATCTGCCTTTGGATACATCACCTCAGTGAGCAGGACTCCTCAATTCGCTCTGTTGGCAGGATTATGTTTATGGCTCTTTAAGATAAAGCATGAAAGCTTTGAGTGAAAAGCATTGGAAGCTGGTAGGAGATGGAAGAATGGGCAAACGCAAGGGAATTACTGTCTGATTGCTGACGTCAGGCCCTCCAGTAGCCAGTGTAGCAAGGCAGCTTCCATTCTCAACCTCTGTTCAGACACATGTGCAGATAGACCCCACCTGAATTTCTAGATCCTCAGGATTCTCTTTAGGGATCTTCCTCTTTGCCTCCTGGGAATTTCTTGCCCATGAAAATTTCATATACCAACCCCCACCTTTTTTTTTTTCAGGGAGAGGTTGGGTACACTATAGATGAGAAGATGCAGGTGGATAAAAGTAGTTACTTAAACACATATTGGGCAAGGCTTACAGGTTTGGAGGCCCAGATTAAGATGCAGAGGAGGATGTAAGGTTGATGATTATATTTCGGGGAGAGTTAATTGATGGAAGGTGGAGGCAGACAAAGAACCGCTGCTTACTGCCTTCTTGAATCCCAATCAGGAATTATGATTAAAGTCGCAGCGAGACAACAGAGGGCTGATGAATTGGTGTCTTTTTTTTTTCTTTTTTGCCGTCATTCACACTTGATTGACTTCAACCTTTCAAGTGCAAAAGTCTCTCTTTTCCATTATTATTCATAGCCATCTGAGTTTTTCTAATTAAAGTGTATGAAAACAATTACTGATCCGTCGTACTGAGTCTGTTAGAGGGGATGTCTGCCTTACTGTAATGCCTATGAAAAGCCCACAGTTCTCTATAATGATGTGCAGCTGAGGTGTTAGATAATTTTATTCTTTTTTACTCTGTAGGGCTTTTTTTTTTATTTCTCATGATTCATTTTTCATAATTCCTAAAGATCCCAGGAAAAGACTGATCCTGCAGCTACAACCGAGAAAGGAGGTGGGGGGGAGTCTTTTTTCCTTTCCCTTTCTCCCCCTTTTACCCCCAACCTCGTGCTCCCCATCGGCTGAGGACTATAAATTAATCGGTGACCTTTCACTTCTTGGATTCCCGCTGGACTCCCCAACCACACTGGTCAGAAATACCTTCTATTAAAAAGAAAATAGATGGAATGAGTTTGGCAATCTCCACTCCATTCCTAACGATTCATCAACAGCTAGCCTTAACCAGCTGCCGATGAGCTTTGTGTGCGGTGCAGATGTCTGTGGGGCAAGAATGTGATGTCACACACATTCACCTGCCACACACCTGCTCTTCGTAAACATAGTGTTTCTCAGAATGGTTCTCCATAGTGCCTGTGGCTTACTTTTTGCAACCGTTGGCATCTGGGTTGCTAAAATTATTTTAATACCCTAAACACAATGGGGAGTTATCTTATGTTGATGAGGCGGCTGTGTGGGTTTCCTCTAGTCGTCAGGCCTATTGCTGATATTCTAGTGGACATGTTAGTAGCTATTTTGGGCAAGGGTAGGATTTTTACACCATTAAAAATTAAAACATTAATTTTGAAGAGAAATCTAAGTATTCCAGTCTTTGCAACAGATAGTGAAGATGGCTGTGCAGCATGGTTGTGTTTGATGGAAAAATAATGTCGCCAAGTGGGGCTGGGAGCCATGTAGAAAGGTTAGTGGTGATTGCAGTTTCTGGTCCTGTAACTTCTAGGTCAGTCCATATTTCCGGCTGTCATCAAATGGGAGGCGGTTTCTGATTTATTTGAAATATCATCGCCACCTACTCTTCCCACCCCATACCAGGCAAAGGGATATTGCTTCTGTTTGAATGAAGAACCTTTGTTCCTTCCATTGGTATCGAGGACTGTCTATCAAATTAACATAGGGCAAATGATAACTTGTCTGGACAGGCTTCTGGCTGGGAGGCCTAGAGAAATATCTAAGGATCTGCCATAAAATTGCAGCTATTTGCATCCAGGCAATTTCCAGAATTGCTATGTTTAGAAACAATGGCCATGGTCAAGGTGGGGCTGCCCTGTTGTAGATTGCTGTGCAGGTCACCCTCTATGGCTGGGACATTGGCCAGAGGTTCCCTCTGATGTTGTGTACCTTAGGCAGAGAGTCCAGAAGAAATCGTGGGCTTAAGTGAGTCACAAAAAAAGGCTTGTTTGTGCATGATTATCAGCTTGTAAAGGGTTACAAATATTGTTTCCTGGAAAATCTGCCAGCATGTCTGCGTGTCCTTAGCCTTCCCTTTGTTCTCTTCTTTTCTTCTTACCCTTTCCTTCACTCTTACTCCCCTCCTCCTCTTGCCTGAATACATTTTGAAAACAGTACTACAATGCTCCCTGCTTCAAGATTACAGTGTACTTTACTAGGTATGATTTAATTAGGGCCCTTATTATGTTTTCAGCAGCTTAAGGTGGGCCTTTCAACTTATCTACCTAATTGGTTGCACAAGAAGTTTCACAGCCCATGACAAAACATTGTCAGTGATCAAAGTCAAAATTCTGCATAAAGGAAAAATATTAATAATAAGATTATTCTTCAAGTGTGCACTGCTAATTATGTCCAGAATGTAACCGTAGAAACACTTTTGACTGATGTGAGCTTTGTCTAATAAACATGAATCTTCAGTGAGCTATGAAAAGTGACACCTCTAGCTTTATAGTGGTGAAGGGTAATTTTGCTTATTAAATAATTTTTAAACATTTCCTATTTTGTGTCTCTTTCCTCTCCATTTGACTCTCCTTGCTCTTGCTCCTCAGGTGACCACTCCCGAGATGGTGATGCCCAGCAGCATGTTCCTCCCAGCAGCTGTTCCAGATCGAGATGGGAATTCCAATTTGGAAGAGGCAGGAAAGCAGCCTGGTCAGTAACATTATTCTTGACCCCAAGAACCTGAAACAAGATGGAATGGCAAAATGTTCATGGAGAAGGGTTTTCAGGAATTCTTTACAATACTCTTAAGGTGAATGTAACTGATCAAGGAGATGAGGGGGCATTGACATCAGCTACCTTTTACTCTGGTTCTTGGCATGTATTTGTATATTACTCACATGGTTTAAAGTGAGAGAAAATCAGTATGACAACCAGTGGAATTTTGGCAGACACACATACATCCCCTTATTAGATTATACAATTATGGAGTGAATAAAAGACTCAGTCAGTAGGCCCCACCGTCCTAAGCCATTAAACACTGTATCTCTGAGGACTTAATTAGTAGGACTCGTGGGTTGATTTTTAGGTACACTGGATTAGTTGTCTTTCATTCTGAGTTTTCTGGGCTTGCTTAGGATGAAGCACAGAAGTGCCACTGGAAAGAACATTGTTGTAGACATGTATGCTGCCATTGGTGCCACGTAGTGTTTCCTAGCTAGATGGATGGTTAGACCTCTGTGAGGCTGTCCATCTTTCACCTCTAAGTTGGGAAGAGTTTGGGCATACTATTGCTCCGCCTCCTGTCTTTCTTGTGAGTTTTCCATCTTAGAAAATGGACAAATGACCTGATAAATGGTGTGGTTGTTATTTATGGGTATGATGATCTCATTGTAGGAAAAAATTAATATATTTTAAATGATTGAACACTTGTTCACTATTTATACAATAGAGATGGCAATCAGAAGTCATAAGAAATTAAATGCCTAAAAATATGTATCCCCAAATTTCTTTTTTTTTTTTTTGAGACAGTCTCACCCTGTTGTCCAGGTTGTAGCGCAGCGGTGTGATCTCGGCTCACTGCAGTATCTCCACCTCATGGGTTCAAGCAATTCTCCTGCCTCAACCTCCCGAGTATCTGGGACTACAGGCATGAACCACCATGCCCAGCTATTTTTTTTTTTTTGCATTTTTAGTCGAGATGGGGTTTCACCATGTTGGCCAGGATGAGCTTGATCTCCTGACCTCAATAACCTCTCACCTTGGCTTCCCAAAGTGCTGGTATTATAGGTGTGAGCCACTGCACCTGGCCCCCAAATTTCTTACATTACAGTGTTCAGCAGTTCTTACAAAAAATTCCCCATAACTTAGGACAGCATTAATTCACAAATTCTACACTCCAGATCTACTGTGCTGAATTCTTATTACATAAAAGATGAACATAAAAGGGAAATCCAGTCTAAGATCAGTAACCTTCAAACCAGTTCTTGAGAAATTGAGGATTCTGAGTCAAGCAATTAAATACTATTTAAAAGACTGTTAGATCTGTGGTATGACATGGGTCTATTATTCATTGAAACTTTTTGTATTATTTCCTTTTATTCATCTCTGTTCATGTGCACCCTGTTTATAATATGTGCTCTATTGGGGGAACAAAAGAAGCAGGAGGCGCTCCATGGAGATTCTGTCATTCAGGTTGGGCACTTCCCTCATCATCAGATTCTGTGTTCATGAGGCCTGGTTAGGTAGACCACTCTGGGTGCCATCCTTGAAACAAAGCCTTCTTTATCTGTGGGTTTGATGTTTTTTTTCACAGAAACCTCAGAGGATCTGGGAAAGAACATCTTGCAATCTGCGAGCACAGAGCAAAGTGGAGATTTGAAACCCTCCCCTGCTGACCCAGGCTCTGTGAGAGAGGACTCAGGCTTCCTCTGCTGGAAGAAGGGTTGCAACCAGGTTTTCAAAACTTCTGCTGCCCTTCAGACGCATTTCAATGAAGTGCATGCCAAGAGGCCTCAGCTGCCGGTGTCAGATCGCCATGTGTACAAGTACCGCTGTAATCAGTGTAGTCTGGCCTTCAAGACCATTGAAAAGTTGCAGCTTCATTCTCAGTACCATGTGATCAGAGCTGCTACCATGTGCTGTCTTTGTCAGCGCAGTTTCCGAACTTTCCAGGCTCTGAAGAAGCACCTCGAGACAAGCCACTTGGAGCTGAGTGAGGCTGACATCCAACAGCTTTATGGTGGCCTTCTGGCCAATGGGGACCTCCTGGCAATGGGAGATCCCACCCTGGCTGAGGACCATACCATAATTGTTGAGGAAGACAAGGAAGAAGAGAGTGACTTGGAAGATAAACAGAGCCCAACGGGCAGTGACTCTGGGTCAGTACAAGAAGACTCAGGCTCAGAGCCAAAGAGAGCTCTGCCTTTCAGAAAAGGTCCCAATTTTACTATGGAAAAATTCCTAGACCCTTCTCGCCCTTACAAGTGTACCGTCTGCAAGGAATCTTTCACTCAAAAGAATATCCTGCTAGTACACTACAATTCTGTCTCCCACCTGCATAAGTTAAAGAGAGCCCTTCAAGAATCAGCAACTGGTCAGCCAGAACCCACCAGCAGCCCAGACAACAAACCTTTTAAGTGTAACACTTGTAATGTGGCCTACAGCCAGAGTTCCACTCTGGAGATCCACATGAGGTCTGTGTTACATCAAACCAAGGCCCGGGCAGCCAAGCTGGAGGCTGCAAGTGGCAGTAGCAACGGGACAGGGAACAGCAGCGGTATTTCCCTGAGCTCCTCCACACCAAGTCCTGTGAGCACCAGTGGCAGTAACACCTTTACCACCTCCAATCCAAGCAGTGCTGGCATCGCTCCAAGCTCCAACTTACTGAGCCAAGTGCCCACTGAGAGTGTAGGGATGCCACCCCTGGGGAATCCTATCGGTGCCAACATTGCTTCCCCTTCAGAGCCCAAGGAGGCCAATCGGAAGAAACTGGCAGACATGATTGCATCCAGGCAGCAGCAACAGCAACAGCAGCAGCAGCAGCAACAACAACAAGCACAAACCCTGGCCCAGGCCCAGGCCCAGGTTCAAGCTCACTTGCAGCAGGAGCTGCAGCAGCAGGCTGCCTTGATCCAGTCTCAGCTGTTTAACCCCACCCTCCTTCCTCACTTCCCCATGACCACTGAGACCCTGCTACAGCTACAGCAGCAGCAGCACCTCCTCTTCCCTTTCTACATCCCAAGTGCTGAGTTCCAGCTCAACCCCGAGGTGAGCTTGCCAGTGACCAGTGGGGCACTGACGCTGACAGGGACAGGCCCAGGCCTGCTGGAAGATCTGAAGGCTCAGGTTCAGGTCCCACAGCAGAGCCACCAGCAGATCTTACAGCAGCAGCAGCAGCAACAGCAGAGCCAACTCTCTCTAGCCCAGAGTCACTCCACCCTCCTTCAGCCAAGCCAGCACCCAGAAAAGAAGAACAAATTGGTCATCAAAGAAAAGGAAAAAGAAAGCCAGAGAGAGAGGGATGGTGCTGAGGGGGGAGAGAGCAACACCGGCCCAAAGGAAACCCAACCAGATGCCTTGAAGGCCAAAGAGAAGAAAGAGTTGGCACCAGGGGGTAGTTCTGAGCCTTCCATGCTCCCTCCACGCATCGCTTCAGATGCCAGAGGGAATGCCACCAAGGCCCTGCTGGAGAACTTTGGCTTTGAGTTGGTCATTCAGTATAATGAGAACAAGCAGAAGGTGCAGAAAAAGAACGGGAAGAGTGAGCAGGGAGAGAACCTGGAAAAGCTCGAGTGTGACTCCTGTGGCAAGTTGTTTTCCAACATCTTGATTTTAAAGAGTCATCAAGAGCATGTTCATCAGAATTACTTTCCCTTCAAACAGCTCGAGAGGTTTGCCAAGCAGTACAGAGACCACTACGATAAACTGTACCCACTGAGGCCCCAGACCCCAGAGCCGCCACCACCTCCCCCTCCACCCCCTCCACCCCCACTTCCGGCAGCGCCACCTCAGCCAGCGTCCACGCCAGCCATCCCTGCGTCAGCCCCGCCGATTACCTCACCTACGATTGCACCGGCCCAGCCATCTGTGCCGCTCACCCAGCTCTCCATGCCCATGGAGCTGCCCATCTTCTCGCCACTGATGATGCAGACGATGCCGCTGCAGACCTTGCCAGCTCAGCTGCCCCCGCAGCTGGGACCTGTGGAGCCTCTGCCTGCGGACCTGGCTCAGCTGTACCAGCATCAGCTCAATCCAACCCTGCTGCAGCAGCAGAACAAGAGGCCTCGCACCAGGATCACGGATGATCAGCTCCGAGTCTTGCGGCAATATTTTGACATTAACAATTCCCCCAGTGAAGAGCAAATCAAAGAGATGGCAGATAAGTCTGGGTTGCCCCAGAAAGTGATCAAGCACTGGTTCAGGAACACTCTCTTCAAAGAGAGGCAGCGTAACAAGGACTCCCCTTACAACTTCAGTAATCCTCCTATCACCAGCCTGGAGGAGCTAAAGATTGACTCCCGGCCCCCTTCACCGGAACCTCCGAAGCAGGAGTACTGGGGAAGCAAGAGGTCTTCAAGAACAAGGTTTACGGACTACCAGCTGAGGGTCTTACAGGACTTCTTTGATGCCAATGCTTACCCAAAGGATGATGAATTTGAGCAACTCTCTAATTTACTGAACCTTCCAACCCGAGTCATAGTGGTGTGGTTTCAGAATGCCCGACAGAAGGCCAGGAAGAATTATGAGAATCAGGGAGAGGGCAAAGATGGAGAGCGGCGTGAGCTTACAAATGACAGATATATTCGAACAAGCAACTTGAACTACCAGTGCAAAAAATGTAGCCTGGTGTTTCAGCGCATCTTTGATCTCATCAAACACCAGAAGAAGCTGTGTTACAAGGATGAGGATGAGGAGGGGCAGGATGACAGCCAAAATGAGGATTCCATGGATGCCATGGAAATCCTGACACCTACCAGCTCCTCCTGCAGCACCCCGATGCCCTCACAGGCTTACAGTGCCCCAGCACCGTCAGCCAATAATACAGCTTCCTCCGCTTTCTTGCAGCTTACAGTAGAGGCTGAGGACCTGGCCACCTTCAATTCAAAAACAGAGGCAAGCGATGAGAAACCAAAGCTGGTGGAAGCTCCCAGTGCCCAGCCAAACCAAACCCAAGAAAAGCAAGGACAACCAAAGCCAGAGCTGCAGCAGCAAGAGCAGCCCGAGCAGCAGAAAACCAATACCCCACAGCAGAAGCTCCCCCAGCTGGCATCCCTGCCTTCACTGCCACAGCCTCCTCCGCAAGCACCTCCTCCACAGTGCCCCTTACCCCAGTCAAGTCCCAGCCCTTCCCAGCTCTCCCACCTGCCCCTCAAGCCCCTTCACACATCAACTCCTCAGCAGCTGGCAAACCTACCTCCTCAGCTAATCCCTTACCAGTGTGACCAGTGTAAGTTGGCATTTCCATCATTTGAGCACTGGCAGGAGCATCAGCAGCTCCACTTCCTGAGTGCACAGAACCAGTTCATCCACCCCCAGTTTTTGGACAGGTCACTGGATATGCCTTTCATGCTTTTTGATCCCAGTAACCCACTCCTGGCCAGCCAGCTGCTCTCTGGGGCCATACCTCAGATTCCAGCAAGCTCTGCCACTTCTCCTTCAACTCCAACGTCCACGATGAACACTCTCAAGAGGAAGCTGGAGGAAAAGGCCAGTGCAAGCCCTGGCGAAAATGACAGTGGGACAGGAGGAGAAGAGCCTCAGAGAGACAAGCGTTTGAGAACAACCATCACACCAGAACAACTAGAAATTCTCTACCAGAAGTATCTACTGGACTCTAATCCGACTCGAAAGATGTTGGATCATATTGCGCATGAGGTGGGCTTGAAGAAACGTGTGGTGCAAGTCTGGTTTCAGAATACCAGAGCTCGGGAAAGGAAAGGACAGTTCCGGGCTGTGGGCCCAGCTCAGGCCCACAGGAGATGCCCTTTTTGCAGAGCGCTTTTCAAAGCCAAGACTGCTCTCGAGGCTCACATCCGGTCCCGTCACTGGCATGAAGCCAAGAGAGCTGGCTACAACCTAACACTGTCTGCGATGCTCTTAGACTGTGATGGGGGACTCCAGATGAAAGGAGATATTTTTGACGGAACTAGCTTTTCCCACCTACCCCCAAGCAGTAGTGATGGTCAGGGTGTCCCTCTCTCACCTGTGAGTAAAACCATGGAGTTGTCACCGAGAACTCTTCTTAGCCCTTCCTCCATTAAGGTGGAAGGGATTGAAGACTTTGAAAGCCCCTCCATGTCCTCAGTTAATCTAAACTTTGACCAAACTAAGCTGGACAACGATGACTGTTCCTCTGTCAACACAGCAATCACAGATACCACAACTGGAGATGAGGGCAATGCAGATAATGACAGTGCAACGGGAATAGTAACTGAAACCAAATCCTCTTCTGCACCCAATGAAGGGTTGACCAAAGCGGCCATGATGGCAATGTCTGAGTATGAAGATAGGTTGTCATCTGGTCTGGTCAGCCCTGCCCCGAGCTTTTATAGCAAGGAATATGACAATGAAGGTACAGTGGACTACAGTGAAACCTCAAGCCTTGCAGACCCCTGCTCCCCAAGTCCTGGTGCTAGTGGATCTGCAGGCAAATCTGGGGACAGCGGGGATCGGCCTGGGCAGAAACGTTTTCGCACTCAAATGACCAATCTGCAGCTGAAGGTCCTCAAGTCATGCTTTAATGACTACAGGACACCCACTATGCTAGAGTGTGAGGTGCTGGGCAATGACATTGGACTGCCAAAGAGAGTCGTTCAGGTCTGGTTCCAGAATGCCCGGGCAAAAGAAAAGAAGTCCAAGTTAAGCATGGCCAAGCATTTTGGTATAAACCAAACGAGTTACGAGGGACCCAAAACAGAGTGCACTTTGTGTGGCATCAAGTACAGCGCTCGGCTGTCTGTACGTGACCATATCTTTTCCCAACAGCATATCTCCAAAGTTAAAGACACCATTGGAAGCCAGTTGGACAAGGAGAAAGAATACTTTGACCCAGCCACTGTACGTCAGTTGATGGCTCAACAAGAGTTGGACCGGATTAAAAAGGCTAATGAGGTCCTTGGACTGGCAGCTCAGCAGCAAGGGATGTTTGACAACACCCCTCTTCAGGCCCTTAACCTTCCTACTGCATATCCAGCGCTCCAGGGCATTCCTCCCGTGTTGCTCCCGGGCCTCAACAGCCCCTCCTTGCCAGGCTTTACTCCATCCAACACAGGTGGGTTCTGCTCCAGGGGATTGTTTCAGGGCTGAATAGCTGCTCAGTCAGCATTCTGTTACGTGGTTACCACCCAGACCCTCTGAGTGCTGGGCAGATGGGAAGCTTCTTTCTAGTTCTCAAAAAGCAACAAGACTTCAGTTTGTCCTGTTAAATCTCCCTACTACTGGTGTGTCAGGGGTGGGATCTCCTGGTTGGAACAGTCTCCTTTGAAACCTCTCTTACGCCCTACAATAGGGAAAAGCTTGAGGGTCCTGGTATACTGATTTCTGGAATATTTAAAGAAACAAGTTTCCATCATAGACCCTTTCATTCAGTCCTTGTGGAAATAAATGCTGATCCTGTCTGGGTATTTGTTGTAAATATAAGACGCCTGAATTAGTCATGGCTAATTCTGGATTATGCCCTAAGAAAACTGGTCTAAGAGTATTTAAATCAACTCTTTGCCCTCACCCAGGGTCCCTGCCTTCTCGAGATAGCTACTGTGGCTGAAGAACTGCTATCAGAAAGAAGCTTACACATAGTGGATCCTTACTGTTGGGGTTTTCTCTTCCAGCCAGAACAACAGTGGCTGTTAGTTTCTAACAAGATGACCTTTTTACTTGAATGCATTGACCAGGGATCTTGTATTGGGGAACATGGTTCTGTTAAAGTACTGATGCATATTTCAGGGGTCCTTAGTCACCTCTTTTTTTTTTTCCTTTTGCCCATTTCCCTTTCCTTGCTCCTGATCATTCAGAATCATACATACTTGGTGCTCTTATAGTCTCACTTAATAAGGAGTTTTGCAGTTTTTCCTACATACCTCTCTTGTTTCTCCTTCTCTGTCCTCATATCTTCTCTGGATCCAGCCATATTTGCTAAATTGGACCTTCACCTCCAGGGTCCTGCAAAGATTAGACACAAGTCAGCAAATTCCCCCTACAATGGCCTGAATTGATTACTTCCCGTTCACCAAAGGAGAACCCCTCCAAAAGCCACCTTGCCTTGAAAATGTGTCCCTGTTAACAGGGGTTAAAGCAGCTCTACTGCTTCCCGTAGCAACTAGCTTCCTAATTTCTGGTTAAATTAGTTCCACATTTTACACTTTGGGTGGTATCTTACCAAACATAAGGCTGCTGCATTCCTGGCCCCCGTTTCTTACTCAATTAAGATGGAAGTTGTTGCTTATATGTGTTGACAAGTCATGTCACAGAAAACCAGCTAGACAAAAGCCAGGAAAAAAAAACTACAGAAACTAGCGAAGCACTTAGTTATCCCTATAGCCGCAGGACCTTGGCAGAGGGGCTTGGGAAGGTTTGACACGTTACAGTAATGTGAAAAAAGTAGAATCAGAATGTCTGATTTATTCCCCTTGTTTTACAGATGAGAAAACTGAGGCCCAGAGAGGTCAAGACCATTCAACAAGCTAGGGTATGAGCTAGAGCTCCCACCCAGGCCTCTGGGCTCCCAGTGCTATGTCCTCCTTCCACAACACCCAATATGAGCCAGTCAGTCAACAGGTATATATTTAGTGTTACTCAGGTTCTGACCACTTAGAGTGGACTCAAGCTAGAAAGATACGCTCTTATTTATTCAGGGCAGCCAGACTGCCCCAGTTATCATCACCTGACTGTAACCTTCTCAAGAGCACTGGATCTGGAATGGGAGGGAAGGAATGAACTTGTATTTATTAAGTATCTATTATAGGTCAGGCCCAATGGTAAGCTTTTTCTATGAATACGGTCTTTCATTTAATTCTTGTAACCATCTGTTGTGGAAAGCTGAGGTTCCAAGAGTTCAACTGACGGGCCCAGGGTCACACGTCTGATGTGTGTTACCATGATCCCACAGGGTCTATGTGACTTCAGAGTTGTATGAAGTCTTGGGGGAAAAAGGAGGTCACAGAATTGTGAGTGTGTTGAGCTACTATAGCATGGCTAGGGCAGGGCTTGGTAAATAGTAGAGATTTGTAAACGTTTCTTAAAATTTGAACCTCTTATATATATATAGACCATCAGGTGAAGGTACACAGTTTAAGGCTTTCTGATCTGAATCTTTCTCCTAAAAGCCTGAAGCCATGGGGATGGGAACATCTCTAGATATTCCTTCCTTGCCCCACGGATCTTTTCCCTCTGGCCCCAAACCTAAAACTTAGAGTAGGCCCATTGCCTACTGGAGACAGAGCCATGTCCCAAGTTTAGAACTCATAATCTACTCTGTCTCATTTGTGCCAGTTTAATCAAGTTTTTACTAAGCTTTTGGGAGCAGAGTTACGCGTATCTTCTCTGGTGTCTTATGTGTACTGAAGACACGGGATGATGTGATGCTGTAGGAATCTTCCTCCGTGGCTATCCAATATTAATGGAGATTTGTCGGATTGGCAACTTGAAGCAGTCTTATTGTTTTCATCTGAAATATGAGGGTTTTGACAGTGAATGCAATGCCTTGATAGCCAGAAATCAGCAGTCTTCCCACAGATCTGGGCTTCAGAGTGTTTTTTTCTCAGGGTTATGTTATGGAACTCCTTCTCCAGCTTTCTGGCAGAAAGTGGTCCAGATGAAATACTGAAGGGCTTTAGCACTGTTTTGATTATGCATTTTGGTGTCCTCTGAAGAGATGTATATACCATCTAGTTTCTTGGATGTGGTGAATACAGAGGTGTTGCCTGTGGGATCCTGTTTTCTTTTCTTAGCTTTTCATCATCCAGCACTCTGCACCCCACCCCTCATGCTGTCTTTCCCTGCTGTCTTGCTAGTCTCAACATACCTGAAGCTTGGAGTACCATCTGTAGCAACACCCACTTCCACTACCTTGGAACTGAAGACTCAAACCAGGAGATAGCTATGGGTCAGGGGAGGGTTTTAGGCTTTAGGGTCAGTGAAGGTGTTGCAGGGAGTGGTGGTAGATTAGGGGTCAGTATGATAAAGGATGGGGCCTAGTCCATGAGGGCCTGGTGGCATGGTCAGAGACCTTTGCTTTCCATAGACAGTGGTGCTTCGAGTGGGCTGTGATGTGCTGGAAATTGGTGTCAGTACCTTGGGCTATTCCATTTGTAACACAGCCTTTCTCCTTTTCCTGTGGCAGTTTCTCAACCATCTACAGTTCTGTTGGCCGTCCTGTGTATCATTCAAACGGGCAGGAAGAGAAGGTGGTCATTTCTCCAGTAGACTCCAGAATCCTATTCCTAGATGGTTATACTGTTCAGTAGACTTGTTGAAGGAGATCAGCTGGACCAAGGCACTGGAGCAGTTCTGCCTGAATGGATTATTTCTTCCTAGGCCCTTCCTCCATACTTTCCCATTCATCTCTTCTCTCTACCCTCCCAAAGCATCCAGTCAGCTGCCGCAACAGAGGTCAGAGAGGAGGAACACATGTAAAACCTGTTTTGCTTGTTCATGTGGCCTTGTGCCCTTGTTCTCTTCTCTCTTTTCCTGTTGCCTCTCTCCTCCAGGTAACTTCTCCGGGCCTCATGGCCATACTCTTTCTGTGATGCTTTGGTAAAGGCCTTTGGTGCAAATGGGCCCCAGCTAAAAACAGCTAGCTTTGGGGCTTCCAGACTAATTGCAATTGGGTAGAGTGAATGGTAGGTGGGAGTACTTGGCAGAGAAAATGTAAACTAGTGGTGTGGCACATTGGGCAGAAACATGCTCGAAGTAGATTGGCTGGAAGTGGGGGGAGTATGGGAGCTGACACAGGACTGAGTCCTCAGAATACAGGCTGTCCAGCCCTGAGCCTAATGGGAACCTTCTGTTGAAAACGTTGGTTTTGAGAGAAGTCTTCAAGCCTTGACATCTTGGACTGTGCCAGTGACACTGGTAAAATGTCTTGAGCTTCAGCCCTACCCCCGCCCAGACTGACTGGTGATTTCTCTTTCTGTCTCCATTCCTTTCAGCTTTAACGTCTCCTAAGCCGAACTTGATGGGTCTGCCCAGCACAACTGTTCCTTCCCCTGGCCTCCCCACATCTGGATTACCAAATAAACCGTCCTCAGCGTCGCTGAGCTCCCCAACCCCAGCACAAGCCACCATGGCGATGGCCCCTCAGCAACCCCCCCAACCCCAGCAGCAGCAGCAGCAGCCACAGGTGCAGCAGCCTCCCCCGCCGCCAGCAGCCCAGCCGCCACCCACACCACAGCTCCCACAGCAACAGCAGCAGCAACGCAAGGACAAAGACAGTGAGAAAGTAAAGGAGAAGGAAAAGGCACACAAAGGGAAAGGGGAACCCCTGCCTGTCCCCAAGAAGGAGAAAGGAGAGGCCCCCACGGCAGCTGTAGCCACGATCTCAGCCCCGCTGCCCACCATGGAGTATGCGGTGGACCCTGCACAGCTGCAGGCCCTGCAGGCAGCCTTGACTTCGGACCCTACAGCGTTGCTCACAAGCCAGTTCCTTCCTTACTTTGTACCGGGCTTTTCTCCTTATTATGCTCCCCAGATCCCTGGCGCCCTGCAGAGCGGGTACCTGCAGCCTATGTATGGCATGGAAGGCCTGTTCCCCTACAGCCCTGCACTATCGCAGGCCCTGATGGGGCTGTCCCCGGGCTCCCTACTGCAGCAGTACCAGCAATACCAGCAGAGTCTGCAGGAGGCAATTCAGCAGCAGCAGCAGCAGCGGCAACTACAGCAGCAGCAGCAGCAAAAAGTGCAGCAGCAGCAGCCCAAAGCAAGCCAAACCCCAGTCCCCCCGGGGGCTGCTTCCCCAGACAAAGACCCTGCCAAAGAATCCCCCAAACCAGAAGAACAGAAAAACGCCCCCCGTGAGGTGTCCCCACTCCTGCCGAAACCCCCTGAAGAGCCAGAAGCAGAAAGCAAAAGTGCGGACTCCCTCTACGACCCCTTCATTGTTCCAAAGGTGCAGTACAAGTTGGTCTGCCGCAAGTGCCAGGCGGGCTTCGGCGACGAGGAGGCGGCGAGGAGCCACCTGAAGTCCCTCTGCTTCTTCGGCCAGTCTGTGGTGAACCTGCAAGAGATGGTGCTTCACGTCCCCACCGGCGGCGGCGGCAGTGGCGGCGGTGGTGGTGGCGGCGGCGGCGGCGGCGGCTCGTACCACTGTCTGGCGTGCGAGAGCGCGCTCTGTGGGGAGGAAGCTCTGAGTCAACATCTCGAGTCGGCCTTGCACAAACACAGAACAATCACGAGAGCAGCAAGAAACGCCAAAGAGCACCCTAGTTTATTACCTCACTCTGCCTGCTTCCCCGATCCTAGCACCGCATCTACCTCGCAGTCTGCCGCTCACTCAAACGACAGCCCCCCTCCCCCGTCGGCCGCCGCCCCCTCCTCCGCTTCCCCTCATGCCTCCAGGAAGTCTTGGCCGCAAGTGGTCTCCCGGGCTTCGGCAGTGAAGCCCCCTTCTTTTCCTCCTCTCTCCTCATCTTCAACGGTTACCTCAAGTTCATGCAGCACCTCAGGGGTTCAGCCCTCGATGCCAACAGACGACTATTCGGAGGAGTCTGACACGGATCTCAGCCAAAAGTCCGACGGACCGGCGAGCCCGGTGGAAGGTCCCAAAGACCCCAGCTGCCCCAAGGACAGTGGTCTGACCAGTGTAGGAACGGACACCTTCAGATTGTAAGCTTTGAAGATGAACAATACAAACAAATGAATTTAAATACAAAAATTAATAACAAACCAATTTCAAAAATAGACTAACTGCAATTCCAAAGCTTCTAACCAAAAAAAAAAAAAAAACAAAAAAAACAAAAAAAAAAACAAAAACAAAAAAAAAAAAAGAAAAAAAAAGAAAAAGCGTGGGTTGTTTTCCCATATACCTATCTATGCCGGTGATTTTACATTGTCTTTTTTTCTTTTAATATTTAAAAAAAAAAATGCCCTAACCCTGTTACATTGTGTCCTTTTGAAGGTACTATTGGTCTGGGAAACAGAAGTCCGCAGGGCCTCCCTAATGTCTTTGGAGCTTAAACCCCTTGTATATTTGCCCCTTTTCAATAAACGCCCCACGCTGATAGCACAGAGGAGCCCGGCATGCACTGTATGGGAAAGCAGTCCACCTTGTTACAGTTTTAAATTTCTTGCTATCTTAGCATTCAGATACCAATGGCTTGCTAAAAGAAAAAAAGAAATGTAATGTCTTTTTATTCTCAGGTCAATCGCTCACACTTTGTTCTGTTTTCAGAATCATTGTTTTATATATTTTATTTTTTGTTTTTTTTTTGTTTTGGTTCCAGAAAAGATTTTTTGTTTTGTTAATTTAAAAACGGGCAGAAAGTATTCGAGAAAAACAATGTGAACTGCTTTAGCTTTCTGGGGATTTTTAACGATAGCTTTTCTGCTGAAGCCAATTTCAAGGGGAAAAGTTAAGCACTCCCACTTTCAGAAAAAAAAAAAAACCCCACATACACAAAGAGTGTTGAGGACTTGTAGCTTAAAAAAATAAGTTTTAAAAACTGACTTTCTGTATTTATGATAGCTATGACCATTTTTGGTGTTGAGTAGATTGTTGCATTGGAAATGAACTGAAGCAGTATGGTAGATTTAAAAGGAAAAAAAAAAAAACCTTTTGTGTACATTTAGCTTTTTGTATGGTCCAGCTGACAGCTCCTCATTTGATGTTGTCTTGTTCATTCCTAGCAAATAGATTGCAATCCGTTGATTCGCCTAAGCTTTTCTCCCCTTCGTCCCTTAATTCCACTTTCTCTTTCCTTGTCCCACCTCCCATATCCTATAATCTCCCACTTAAGGTAGCTGCCTTCATTTCTTAGAGGGAGCTGCAGAATTATTTTATAAAACTAAAGAAAGAATTTCAAGGGATTCTAGGGGTCATTAGGATCCTCACAGATTATTTTTGGTTGGGGAGTTGAAACTTTTTAAAGGCATATAATCCTAGTTACCTGTGTCTGTTAGCCTTGTGCATTTATTTTTTATTTACCCTTCTTTTGGCTTTTCTTTGTACCCCTTCTTTTCCTCCTTGTTTGGTAGATGCTTCAAATATTCTTTTCCTATACTAAAGCATTTGTTTCCATTTGTGTAATTGGCTGTGTACTTTTCTTTTCTAAAAAAGTTTTTGGTTAGGGATTTGGTTTTTGGTTTTGTGTTTTTCTTTCCTCTCTCAGAAAAAGAAATTTCATGCTTTAAATAAAATCCAAAGACACACCCTTTCACTGCTGGTGCAGAAAAAAGGGAAAGGGTTCTTGTTACTTGAGAATTTGTTTCTGATTTAAACAAACAAGACTTAGTTTAATAAAAGAAAGAGAAAAACAAAAGATTCCCAGGTTGTTATGTGCTTCTTCTGCACGCAGAGGGGCAACTGTTAATGACAATTCCATATACCAAAAGACACATTTTTTACTTCAAAGTTTTGTCCTTGTGTTAGGCAGTCTGAGCGGCGAGTGATCCAGAGCGCAGCCAACAAAGCAGCAGATAGCAATGTACAGAAAGCAAAAACGGAATTATATGTGAGGCACTTGTTTATGTTAATATCCATGTTCCTGTAACACACAACGCAACACACAACCTTTCTCATGTAAAAAAAAAAATAAACAGTCTGAACTTTGAAAACTTTGTGCTGCTAAAACAACATAGATTTTGGAGACAAATAGATGCTTTGCTGTTTCACTTTCATAGCCAAACATCAAGAGAAACCATCTCCCCTTGCCCCTAAAGTGTGAAATCCTTCTCCCCTTCATTTTCTTCCTTATGTTTCAAAAGGGAACTTTGAAGACTGTGAATGCAGGTTCCATTGGTCACCTTTCGGGCTTGTTTCCCCAGTGCTGAAGCCACTCATCGACTTTGCAAAAGACTGGAGCATTCCAAGATCTGAAAATGGATTTTTTTCTTTTTTTCTTTTTTAGCCGGGACTATTTTATTTTTATGAATTTGTTTTTAGTTTAATGAAATAGTAGATCCTGAAATGTTGTACATATTTCTAACTAGGCTGATGCACAGTGCAAATTCCTTTTCTAATTGTTTTTTTAAGTAGAAATACTAAATACCATCTAACTATTCATACCAGTATCCAGTTGTAGCATAAGGTGTCAAAAGCAAGTACGCAAAACATTTACTGTTTTAACAAGCTGTTTCCTTTTAACAAGAAATCTTATATTTCTCCCTGTGTTTGAGATGAACATTTTTAAATTTTAAAGTTGTACAGTTTTTTGTTTTCCATTATTTTATCTTGTTTGTAACTCTATGAAATATATATATATTTTTTGCCATTTAACTGTTGTATGTTACTCTGTGTCTGTACCATATAGAAAAAAAAATTTTGTTTTTAGTTCTCTATGTGATATCAGTTAACAATTTAACACTAGCTTTACCTGTCAAATTCTGCTAGGTCTTTTCTGAAAACATTGTTTTTAAAAATGATATTGCTTGGTAATAGTGCAATTTCTATCCCTTTCCCTCCCCCCTCAACGTTAAGTTCTTTTCTTTATAATTTTGCTGCCCCTCCCCGATGGTTTGGGTTTTTTTTTGGGGGGGGGGGCTATTATGCCATCCTCCCTCTGTGAGGCAGAATGACTGTCAGTGTTTTGTTACACCATGCCTTGAGCTGTGGGTGTGTTTGGCGACAATAAGGTGGTTGAATAGATTGGCTGAGCATGCTTCCACCCACCCAGTGTTCTCAGAGGGGTTATGTGATTGTGTCAGCCTGGAGTGGGTGGCACCCTTAATGCTTTTCTCTACAACTCTACCGCCCACATACATGTTCATTCAAAAAAGTAAGAAAAATTCTCAGCACTAACCCAGAAGTAGCAAAGCAGTCAGTGATGGTGAACATTAGAGGTCAAACATAAGTTAGGTGTTTGTCGGCTGACAGCCACTGTGGCTGTGACCACTAATATTCACAAATCAAGAGTTCACTACAATGCTCAACTGTTTAGATTGATCTCACTCGGGGAATTTATTCCTGTCTGCTGCATCATAGGTAGCTAGGTAGGATATATTTCCATTAGCTTTCTAAATTAGTTATTCACCTCCATTGACACTTGTTTTTTGGTTTTCTCCCTGTAGTGTGGGTTGGTGCTAGATAGTGGTCTGTCATAGTACCATACTGACCCACAGAACGGGAGTTATATCACCCATCTTTCCTCCATCCTTCCAAAAACCACACCTCTACACAAGGAAAAGTTTAATAATTCTAGGAAATTTTTTTTAATTAAAAGTAAAGAGATGAATGTGGCCAAAGTTTTACACAACTGAAAATAAAAGTAAAACAGACGGCATGTGTTTAAACCTGAGTTTATCAGGCATGGCAGGAAGTTGCAGGAGAGAGAGGCAGTGACCCAAGCCAGTGCACTTGATGTTCATGGACATATATTTTTTTAAATAATAAATTAAAACATTTTAAATAGAAGCATAAATTGAGTTGGATATTTGTTGGCGCTGAGATACTGCCCACTGTGAAACAAAGCTTTGACTAGTTTTTTTTTTGTTTGTTTACTTTCTTCAGGGGGGAGGGGGGCAAGTTTGGGTAGGAAAGAAAGCATAAATGAACGTGACCCTGAGGTGAAGAGGTATATGAACAGCCTTTGCAATGTACAAAAAGAAAAAAATAAAAAACAAAAAAAATAGAGCAAGTGAAACCAAAAATGATGTTCTTGGTGTTTTTCTATAATGTAGTCTTGTTAGCTTTTTTGTTACTGTAACAATGCTGATCTCGAACTGTACCAAAATACATGGAGACTAACAAACAGAACCACATGGAACTTTCAAACTGAAAAAAAAATTTGTCACAAAAACTTTGTTGTCATAGTTAAGTTGATTGTAGATGGTAATTGAATATACTCCTTTGAAAATATTTCATCAAGTATGTTTCCTGCTCATTGTGATACATTAAAAAAATATGAGCAAAAGTTCTGTTTCCGTTACCACATTTGTGCATATGCATGTGTGTGTGCATGAGAGAGAGACTGATGGCTGGCAAAGTATAAATATGAATACCTTGAGGTTGTGTGTGCAGGGAGTACCTATCCCAGTGTACACAAGGATGTACACAAGCTCCTCAGTGTTTCTAAAGACACTTGTATATCCCATCTCCTGGGGCTCATGAATGTCAGAAGTCTGGGCCATGATACTGTCTACTTTATTGGGAGGTACCCCTGACATCTCGGACAATACTTGGCCCCAGAGTGCCCTAATACCAACTAGATTTTTAATTCAAATGTTTACATGAAAGTTTTAGATGCATGACACAATTACAGGTAAAAGGGTTTTACTGACAGCCAGGAGAAAGGTAAGTTCAACTTTTTTGAAATGGGAATTGGATCTAGTGTTTATGACAGAAGGATATGAACGGTAAGTTGAACTAAGTGGATTACTGACTACACTTACCTGTCCTAGCAAAGGACTTCCCTAAACTTCTGTTAGAGCAGAATTTGAGAGAGGCCCATTACATATAACACCAGTATCAGTAATGTCTGCATATAAGAGACAACTTAGTCCTCTTACCAGAAACCCTCCCCTACCACAGCAAATGCCTGAACTTTACTAATAAGGAGTATCTCCAAGATCAGGCCTGAAGGTCTTCCATTCATCTATACTTTATACAGCCACAGCTAATAAATAATTTATAAAATTTTAGCAGGTGGGCCTGGATGGCACTATAGACTGGCTATGTACTTGCAAGGTCTACAGCATCTGCCCTCCATCAGTAGGAATATTTTCTTCCTCAGGAGTTGAGCTATAAATAAAATCCTCTTCTATTGGCTCAGCCAGCCCGCGCTCGCGCTCGCGCTCTCTCTCTCTCTCTCGTTCTCTCTCTCCCCCTCCCCCGCCACCCTTCCATCTCTCTCCTCTGTCTCCACTCCCCTCCCTTTCTTTTGACAGTCTTGCTCTGTAGCTCAGGCTGGAGTGCAATGGTGCAATCTTGGCTCACTGCAACCTCTGTCTCCTGGGTTCAAGTGATTCTCCTGCTTCAGCCCCCCGAGTAGCTGAGATTACAGGCACATGCCACCATGCCAGGCTAATTTTTGTATTTTTAATAGAGACTGGGATTCGCCATGTTGGCCAGGATGGTCTTGATCCTCTGACCTCAAGTGCTCTGCCCACCTTGGCCTCCCAAAATGCCGGGATTGCAGGCATAAGCCATCGTGCCTGGCTCCAGACAGCCGTTTTTCTTAATTTCTACAACAGGCATTCAAAAAGTAGTGACCCTACTGACTCAAAATTTCAAAGACTTCAACTGATACAGGCATTACTAGTGCTCAGGGAGGAAAGCTGGTTCCCTGGCCAGCGCTGGAACCTCTATGCCAAACAGGTAGTGTCACTGTCCCTAATGAAATCTGATCTTTCCCCAGGCATTGTACCTTTCTTTTTGGAGTTCCTGCAGAAATGGATGGCCTCTATCTTGCTATGTTTTCTTGGTACCCAGTTAATGTTGCTGATCTGTCTTCCCACCCTGTGAAAAGGTATGGTAGGATAAAACTTGTTCAGACCCAAAGCCACATCTGCCTTTTTAAACTATAATTATTTTAGGATCTGGCAGGATTGCATTGAAACATTTTAAATGGAACTAGTTTTGCAGAGAGGTTTTGCTGCTTCAGCTCTTTGGAGGAAGGTAACTACAATTCAAATTCTCCTACAGATAAATTTCTAACAAGAAAATAAGACAAAACTTTATTGATGGTTGAGCCCTTTGTATCAGAGACTCTCTGAGCATCTAAATTACATTAAAGAAGGGCTGGGTAAGAGACCTGAAGCTCTTTCTGTTACTGAAAAGGCTGGTTTTTCTTAAGGGAAAAGAGGTCTTCTAGTCTGGTTTCAATATCATCCTCATGTGGATGAATTAATGGTTTTCTCTCCCTTGGAAAATGAAATGGCAACATCTTAAAATGGCCAATATGTGCTAGGTAGCTGTTTCTAATTTTGCTTTAAAGAAACGTCTACAGTGCCTAACCCCTGTTATAGACTAATGACCTTCCAAATCTTTCTTTTAACAAGTTTAGGCTTGACGTTACAAGAGCACAAGCAGTTTAAGAGTCAAGTTGAAGGATGAGAATTTTGCACCTGCTGATCTGCTCTGCTCTGCAGCCTTAATTATAGCAGGACAGATGTGCTCACTCAGCCTCTGTATACTATTGCTGGGGATGAAACATCCAAGGCTCTGGAAAAACTTGCAAAGAAATTAGTGCTCTCAGAATCATTAAGGTAGAGGCAGTTTTCCATTCTTTACTTCATGATGAAGGCAGGTATTTTCCTTCCCTCCTTCCTGTTTCATTCTTTTTTTAAACTAAAGATATCTGTTTTTAGGATGTCCTAATCAGTAATCTAGGATTTCTCTGAATCTGTCTTCTTGAGTTTTTAAATTATAAGCAACATAAATTCTCTTTTGATCCTTTATTTATGACTGCTTAACTTCTTATTCTAAGTATATGAGATGAACAAAAAGGCTATTTAATTAAACTTTTCAATCCTTTATTAACATGGGAATGAAAACTCTCAGATGAACTGTTTTACTTTTGGGCCAAGATCCCTTGGCCTGAGAAGTGAGTGCTGAGAAGCAACTAATAGCAACCATGGAGAAAGGCACTGGCGGCGATTCTCCGCCTCTACAATGCTCACAGGCCTTTTTTAAACATCATTCTTCCTTGCCTTCCTTAATACACTACTCTTGTAAGCCTCCTCACACACTGCTGCTCTTTTAATTCCTGTTTATGCTTTATGTTTGCCTAACACTTGTAAAAATGTTTTGTAAAATTATATACTTCTTACTTCTCAGATGATCTGTAAGTTGGACAAAGCATTTATCTCCAGGATCCAGGATAGTGAGGTAATGAGTGAGGGGAAAAGGCACTAATCAGGTATTTAGCCTTTAACCAGTGCTCTTCCTCATCACACTATTTCTTGAGAGGCTACGGAAGAGTGAGAGTGTGGGCTCCAGAGTCAGACTGACAGGGTTCAAATTCTGGTTCCATCATGGTGACGTTGCTTTAGTTAGTTACTTTCACTGTGAAATGAGGGTAATAGTATCTGCTTTATAGGGTTGTTGGGAATTTTATATAAATTAATGTATGTAAAATGCTTAGGACACTGCCTGCTTCATACTAAGTGCTAAAAATCTTGTTACTATCAGTCATTATGACCTCTCCACATCTCCTTTCTGTAGGCCCCTTGGAACTGCTGCTTTCTAACTTTTGGTTTCCTTCACAGAGGTTTGGGAACTGCAGTTGTAAAGGTAAGTGCCATTGAGCCTCTGCCATATGTTTACTTTTGATGTTTTCCTGTCTGTACATATCTCAGAGGGTGCAGAGATCCTTTAGGAGGTTTCTGCTCACAAGCTGTAGAAGAGTATGGTATAGGAGTTTGGATTATAGTATTTCAGTGCCCACCATGTAATAATTAATTTGGACCTGAGGAAAAGATGGCTTGTAGTTTGCTTTTGTCTCCAAGACTAGATATATGTCTGGTTCACCATGCCTTGAAAGATGAGCCACTTAGATATATGGGGTTAGAGAACAGGAAGAACAGAGTAAGCTGTGACAGTTTGCCCTCTGCCTGATTTGAAGTGGTTCAGATGTACAAGTTGAGAGGTGTACCATCTGAAATGAGACTCCATATGAAAGAATTGTAGGTGAAACAAAACTGAAAGGGGAATATATGCAAAAGAATGCAGCAAGAGGATGTCTTTGCCCCTAGACCCAGGAAGAGGTTTTTAAAATACTATCATTGGAATAAGCTGCAAAATAAATATTTAAAAGACGCATGGGAAACAATGGGTAAAAACTAAATCAGCACAGAGAAACGACTTAATTACAATGTTTCTATGGTAGCATCTGCATGTAAGAGCTCATCAGGCTTTAGGATACAGGCTTTAGGAGGCTATTGCCCTATGTGTGAACTTAGTCTATTTTTAATCAGAAACAATGATGGCCTTAGAAATAAAGTTGCCGATATTGGTATCGGAGGGCTAGTAAAGGCCTCTTTACTTGAGAATGACTGGTGGGTGATTTTTCCTTCAATCTGAGGATAACAACCCATAAATGTAGCTTTGTTATACTGCCTGTAGATAGGACATCATCATACAGTGTCTTTATTTATTCCATGGTTATAGGTTTGACACTGCTTGAACAGTTATCACAGTGTGATTTGTATTCAGCTTATTTTTTTCTTTGAGTACTTTAAAGGTAGTGCTCCACTGGTGCCTCATTTGCATGGTTTCCAATAACAAATCTGCTGTCATCCTTATTTTTAATGTATTTTTTCTCTTTATCACTAGTTTTATCACATCACAATTTAATTATGATATATTTTGGTGTAGTTTTTTAAATTCATGTTTCTTGTGCTTATGGTTTGTTGGGTTCTTGGATCTGTGGGGAATTACTTTTCATCAAAATTGGGAATATTTCAGCCATTATTTCTTCAAACACATTTTGTCTGCCTCTTCTCCCTTTACTTCCCCCGCTGCCACCACCCCTGGCTCTGACCCCACAGGGATGCCAATTATATAGTTATTAGGCGACTTGAAGTAACCCATCACTTACTGATGCTCTGAGTTTTTTGTTTGTTTGGCTTGTTGTTTGTTTGCTTACACTTTTCTCTGTCTGTTTCTTTTTGGATCATTTCCAATGCTATGTCTTCAAGTCCACTAATATTTTCTTCTAATCTGCCATTAATCCCATCTAGTGTATCTGTTCATCTCAGATAATAAAGTTTTTATCTTTAGAAGTTTAATTTGGGTATTTTAAGTATCTTCCACGTCTCTCCTTAAATTCTGAACATATGAAAATGTTACAATAGTTGTTTACTATCATCCTCTGCTAATTCTAACATCTGTGTGTAAGTTCTGAATCAGTTTCAGTTGATTAGTCTCATTAAAGCTGTTGTTTTTCTGTCTGTTTGTATGCCTGGTAATCCC